GTTCTATTGGATATTACAATGTAATCCACATCATTTACAATAGATTCTCTTGTTAAGAAATTAAATCTTCAAATCGTCTACACGTTTTATTGGAAAGTTACCGGAAACTTGCTTCTGCATTTGTGTGTTTTTTTTTTTATGGGCAGTCTCATCATGACAGATGTCCTCCTGTGACTCTACAAGAGGACAGAACTGCAGCAACGCCTTCCCTTTACGTTGAGCTCTGAGCGACACGAAGCGTTTCAGCGCTGATGTTGCATTCTAGCTGGAACAATCCCACTGTTTTCCAGACTCCAAACTGGGTGCCTAATTCGGACAACAACCCCAGCCCTCCCTTTTCCCACCACCACCACCTCCAAAACCCCTCACCCCTCTTCCACCAAACACACCCTTTCCCCTCCTGCTCCCCATCCATCCAATCAACCAACCAACCCACTCCTCCCATACACGCATCCCCTGGTCTCCTGCCCTTATTTGGGTAGAGACGTTCTGAGAAGAGGAGGGGGGGGGGACGCAGAGGAGGAGGGAGGGAGGGCGTCGAGTTGACACAAGGGAGGCAAGAGGAGAAACAGTGAGCACTCACAGGCCTTTCTTAATAAGGACATGTCTGGAATTCAGGCCCCTCTCGCGGTGAAGAGCCTCTCTTTCGCAGCACCTCTCTTGAAAACACTTCTGAGCTCCACCGAGGCCGTCAGATCGGAGGTCGAGCCGTTTACTGCTGCTCCTCACGGCTCGCGTTGCAGGAGAGGTTTCGGGTGTTTTCTCTGCTATAATTGGAGATAAACAATAGAGCAACCACTTCTTCCTCTTTCGCTCTGCTGTCGGCCTGTACTTACTGAAGCATTTACCCAACAACACCTGCGCTTTCATTAATGATGTTGAGTTCATAAAGGAGTTTCACACCAAACTGTCCAACCAGCATCTGCTGCTCTTAAAACTGAGGCAAACCCCCCTGAATTTATTTTTTGCATTTCGTGTTCCAAAGTTTGGTTTGATGATTTTATAAATGTAAACAAACTGGACAAAGATGAGTGGGATTAAACCAACCCAGACTGTTCAGTTATTTGGAGTGATGGAGCCGTGTGATCTCTGACACCTGAGGTGGATCATCTGATCTGCTGATGGGGGCTCAGTTTCAGTGTTGAGTGACCCTGCCACAAACGGCCCATCATAACTGACCCCCTCTTAGCTAAAATTAACAGCCTGCCTTGAGGACATTTGTCAAACTCTCGTTTGGGTTCACTGACGGCCATAAATTTAATGTTGTGTTTGGTGGAACATCACAGCAGGATTTGTGTTGCAACAGCCAGCTTCCCTTTAATCTTCTGTAATTCTTTGGAAATGATGATGGGAAGGGAGCGAAGCCAACTCTAATCCTGCACCTTAGCTTTCCAGCAGTGGTATCCCAAAGAAAGTGCGGCTTCTCAGCTATTTAATGCATCTGCTTTGCTTCTGTGACATTGTTTTTGATCGCTACGTCTACTGTATTAAGGAATCGGTACGGTAATAGAACTTGAACGCACCACAGTAAAGATAAGACAAAACAAATCTACGGTAAGGAATCTACGGTGACGATTGAAAGGGCAATCTGCATATGCATGTAGCTTAGCTCAGCTTTATAATTCGAACCCCACTCTCTGTTCTTTGAATTGAGAAAGCTTCTCGGATGAGAAACGAAACGTCTTCTGTTACAATACAGTCCAGTTGTTTCTTTTTTTACTTGAACTTTTTTAAATCTGCGGTAAATGGTACGTTTCTCTCGGCTACTCCCTTCTTCAGGGGTCACCACAGCGTGTGAACTCGCATGAAAGGTTTGTCAATTTCTTTTACGCCGAATGCCCTTCCAGATGCAACTTGGACTCGAACCCACACCCTCAGGATTACATGACCGCATCACTGACCATCGAGCTACCGCAGCGATTTAAAACAAATCTAAATGATTTACAGAAACACATGTATTTTGTCTGTTCTCTTTTGGATGCTTAAACTTTATTGGCTATTTTTCATTGCGTCATTAAAAATATAACTGGTGGGTATTTATTTTTTTTTTTTACTTCTTACTGTTTTTAAATCTCATTATAACAAATTATTTCATATAGGGATGCACAATATTATCGGCATGGTATTGGTATCGGCCGATATTAGCGATAAAGTTAAATATCGGACATCGGCCATTCCATCAAAATAACTCACCGATATAAAAGGCACTATTTTTTTTTATATATATTATATTTTCAGCTCCGTTTTTGGCATCTGCATTTGGTAGAAGGCCAAAGTGACAAAGACCATGCAGAATAATGTAATATTTTAATTCCACGGCAGAGAAAGTTATGTAGTCTTTGTCAGTAGGTTTAGGGAAAAAAATATTGATATTGGTATCGTTATCGGCCAAATAAGTTTGAACATATCAGCATATTGGATATCGGCCAAAAATCCAATATCGTGCACCCCTAATTTCATAAGAAGCATGAACAATTTGCTTTTAATGGAAGAGCAAACCAAAACGTCAAAATGTACTATATTTTTTTGGGATTTTTGCCTTGTAAAGTCAGAATGTTCATAGACTTAGATTGTTGTTTTATTCCCCGAGGTGCTTTTTGCATTCATCCGTTTTATTTGATCTCTGTCTGTGTCTGCAGAAAAGTTGAAACAGAACCATCCTGTGATGTTCGTTACATCACTGACTTCCATTTCAGAGACAACGCAAAGCTGAAAAGACAGCTTGAAAAATACTTAAGGTCTTTTCCTGTAGTCAGCTATAATCCAACCACATTGGGAAACAGTTCCCAGACCACAGGCATTCTTTGAAACCAGTGCTGATTAGTGGGGTCTTTAAACTTTGTTTTATGAAATATCTTGACTTCATTTGAGCGCTTGAGAGAATTAAAATCAAGGGAAATGTAATAATAATTATAGTTTGCTTTGTTTATTCATAAAAATTTAAAGATCTCAGTAAGAAAGATTTCAAAGAGAGAATCATTTGCAGAGCTTTGCTTTCTTTGCAGCATTGTAAACTACCCCTCTATTTTTTTTGAAGAAATAGAGACACTTAACTTGGAAAAAGTGAAGTGTCTTCATCATAAAGTCAAAACAAGTATCCCAAGTTAAAAAAAAACTTCAGTTTGTCTGCTGACTTGTTTGCCTGCTGGTTATCAGATCAGTGTGTTCTTGGTGTCATAAAACTTGCTCGTCCAGCTTAAACATCAAAATTGTTTTCCAGCTTCCTCATAGTTGCCCAACTGGTTGACTGTCTCTGAAGATGAATGTCACGAAAACAAATCAAATCATAGCTTGTAATTACGCTAGACGCAATCAAAGGGACTGTTTTCATTGTGTTTCATTTACACGTAATTATTCTGTCAGTGCTATTATTAGTCATAGAAAATATATGGGTATAAAGATGAATTAGTGCACATTTGGGATAGTTAATTTTGTACTCGATACATATATGTTCGTTAAAACATCATGTACTTATGAGGCAAAAAGATGTCAGAAATTGTTATTCGCATTTTCAAACTTTACAATCAGTAATGCCTTATTCAATTAACAGTGTGTATTAGATTGGTAGATTGTGGGGTTTTCTGCTGATCTTTTTTTTATGGTTTGGAGTTTTATTGTCCGAGTAAGTTCACACTTTTCTTGAGGCACTGAGATCATGGTCTTCCAAATAGGTTACTAAGTTGTAGTAAATCTGTTTTTCTCTGCAGCTTCTCTCACTTTTCTTTGTATGTCATGATTTTAGCTCATCACAGAAGACGAACTGTAACATTATCTGATCTTAAAACTCTTCTTAAACCCCACTTGTTATCTTTGTTGTAACACTTTATAAAGCGTTTTTTTAATCTGATTTTGATTTTTGTACATTTTATTGTAAATTTTAACCTTATAGTTTGATCAGATTTGACATATTTTATTATTTGTATTCCCTGGTTTTATTTCACTTGTGTTTTGTCTCGTGTGCGCCGTGTTTTTTAATGTTGATTCTGTTCAGCACGTCGGTCTGCTGTGGTGTGTAAAGTGATTTACAAATAAAGTTGGATTGGACTGAATAGCCAAATTGTGCTTAGTTTCATTGATAGTTTGTTGTTTTTTCTTGGTGCTATTGGCAAGTTTGTTGTACATTTGCTTGATGAATTCTATGTTTTTCCATCTTTTCTCACTTGTCCCTTGACATTTCAAATACTTTAGCTCCTTCTTATAACTCACTAAAATTCCCTCTCCTTATAATATTGTATATTTGTTCCTGTCTAGAAGCCATCAGTGAGCCTTATATATTGTTTTAAAGTTGTTTCTAGTAATAGTCAGGTAATCTCCAACCTAAAGTTGGTGAATTGTCTCTGAGCTCCCTGATGATGATGTGAAAATTTGAGTTTATTGTGTAATTTTGAATGTCTAAGACAGCGGTTCTCAAATGAGGGCCCCTGGACCCCCAAGAGTCCGGGAGCCTGTGCTTGGGCGTCCGCAAAAAAAAAAAAAAAATCCAAGCAGGTAGATGTTTAACAATCCATTAAAATACACCAAAATGCAGGAAATCACATGTACTACATACATTTATTGTGTTCATTATGTGAAAAGTTTTAAAGTGGTTTTTGATGCTGTTAATTTTCTCAAAACTGTACTTTTTGGAAGTTGAAATTAAAAATTGTGTTAAGTGTGTCTTATATGAAAAATACCCCATGTTTAAAATATAAAAATTGCATTAACACTATTAAAGAACAGGTCTTAAGTATTTATGTTACACAGATCTTTCCAATGCATTAAAGAGACAAATTGAAGAAAATTATTTAATAAACATGCGGGTTATGAAGGGGTTCCTGAAACTTTTTCTCCCCTGTAAGGGGTCCCTGAACCCTAAAAGTTTGAGAACCCCTGGTCTAAGAAACATATCTTAAGTAATGTTAAATAGCATTTGTATGTGTAATAAAGTTAAATTTATGAAGATGTACACTAGTTGAAAAACACATAATGAATATAGATTTTTTTACTGTTTCATTCTACAGATCTCCCATTGATCTTTTGCTATTGGGGCTCGGGGTTGGGCCCAGGGGGAGCCGCCACCATTGCGTCCAACGAGTGGAGCGCCAACGGTAGCCCAGAAGATGGGCTTGATGGGGAAAATGAGGAAAAGACCATGGACGGGGACGCCGAGGGCGTATGGAGCCCAGATATTGAACAGAGTTTCCAGGAAGCCCTCGCCATCTATCCTCCCTGTGGCAGGAGAAAAATCATCCTATCAGATGAGGGAAAGATGTACGGTGAGTACGCTGGGCGTCAGCCAAAGCAGCAAAACGACAATTATATGGAAATAGGCTTCATAATAAATGGGTCAATGAGAAAACCAATTTGGCGTGATTTTCAGCTGAAAGCAAACAGGCATCTTCTACTCTGCTCTTAAAAAAACAAGAAAAAGAAATGTGCTTTTCTTTCTCGCTCTCATGCAACAGCTCAAACCTAGAGGTGAATGTTTTCTTTCTTCACATAGCTCTGCTGAACAGGTCTGTACCTGTTGTGCTGTGACCCACAGGCAGGTTCTTCCAGTCACACTAGCACTTTCAGAACGGGTTATTGCTGTCCTGTCCCTAGGCTCAGCACGCTGCCATCTTGATTCACACTAGTCTTTTTGTTCACATTTTACTTTACAGACCAATTTTTATACCCAGAGTTTGCTTTGCTGTCTATCAGCTTTTAGTTGTCTCCTTATCACTAAACATTTTGTCTTGGTCCTCCCCACATGGGTGTTACTGGGAAAACTTTGCCCGTGGGCAACTGAGTGAAGCTGGTTTCTGGAGAAGCACGGCGTTTGATGCTGGGTCGCTTAGTTAAATTAGCAATAATTAGCACAGCGTGAAGCACGATTCAACAACAGCAACATGGCACTGGCACGCTCTGCTGTTAAAGTTTTCAAAATATCCATGAGGTTTTGTAGTTTCCTGCAGCGTGTTCATTAAATTGCAGGTGTTGAGCCATTAATGCGCTTAAACCTCCAGATGGACGTATTGGCAAGTGCTCGAGTAGGATTGCTAACATCCAGGTGTAGGAAATTGATTTCATTTGTCCATCATTATTTTCATCCCACTTCCTGATTCCCGTTGTTAAGGCACCTCATTTAGATTCGACATCTGAAGATAGAGACTGCAGAAAGGCATAAATGTGGATTGATAAAATTTATAGTTTGCTGTTTTCTTTGCCTTCCCTACAAAAAAAACACTTTAAAGTTTATTTACGTAACTTGAGTCCTTCACTTTCTAGTTTTGCAGGATTTAATTCACGTCCATCACATCTCAGAAACATGGTTGTAATTTTAGTTTTAGTTCTGCCACCCACACTTCAGACAGTCTGTGTTTTTTCAGAAAAAAACAAAACAGATTTGGGCATTTGAAACTATATTAAATTCCTCTGGTGTGATTCACTCAGGATGAAATCTGAAGCACTCAGTTGTCAAGCCGTTTAAATTACGCATCGAAGGACAAGTGACATACCTAAAAGTTTACTCAGCTACTGTTTCATTTTTTGTGATGATGTTATACTTGCTTTGAAAATGAATGTAGAAAGTAGTAGATTAAACTTATTAAACACAGTGAATAGTGCTGAAACATGATGGGTAGGATTTTACCCAGACAAACATTTTCACCATGTTTGATTTTATTTTTTTAAGGTTTTATAATTAGTTTCTGAAGAATAGTTTTTTTTGAATAAAAATAAAAGAGCTTAAAATTTAACTCGGAAACCATTTAGTTCAATTCAGACACTTCATAACAACAACCTCACAATCAATAGTTCAGCACAGTTAATTTAAAACAAATGTATTACCGGTATTCTATTTTAAAAAGGAAAAAAAGTTCAGTCTTAAACAGAAGCAAGTATTGTAAATTAACCACTTACATAATTTATTACGGTTGCACAATATTGGATTTTTGGCCGATATCTGATATGCCAATATGTTAACTTATTTGGTCGATAACCGATACCAATACCAATATTTTTAGACCTACTGACAGAGACTACATAGCTTTCTCTGCTGTGAAATTAAAATACTACATTATTCTGCATGGTCTTTGTCAGTTTGGCCTGCTAACAAATGGGGCTGAGATGGGGTAGAGGCAGGGTAGCTGACCCGGTACCTGAAAGCCCCAGGTTCGATCCCCAGTCATTGCACATCTTGTGGTGCCTCTGAGCAGCACACCCTATCCCCAATTGCTCCCCAGGCACCCCCAATAACCGCCCACCGTACCATCATGGATGGATGGGTTAAATGCAGAGAGCCAATTTCATCATTGTATGGGAACATTCAATGATGACAACACAAAACACATTGTTATTATTATTATCATTATTATTATTATTATCATTATTATTATGCCGTAGGGGGCTGAAAAGGATGTAACACTTCAACTTGGATTATGTTTAATGTCAAATTTATTCATGACATTTACTCTCTCTAACACAATGGCAACACTCAACAGTGCAATTTTTCTTAATTTTTTTCATTTACGCTTTATTTATACAGGTAGTCTCATTGAGTCACAAGAACTCATTTTCAAGAGACCCCTGGTTTTTGGGAGCAAATGGTGGGGATTAATGGTCTTGCTCAGGAGCCCAGAGTGGGCAAATGAAGGTGGAGGCAGGTGTGGGTATTTAACCTTTTCCACCCACATTTTGATGTTGACTGTACTGGGAGTTGAACCTGCGACTTCTGTCTGTGAACCTGTTCACAAGCGACAAGTGAAGAGTGCACAAGTAGTAGTAATGCATTAATAGATACACTTGACAGTTTCTTAATTAAAAAATTAACTTAAAACAGAAGTCCTATATGTAGTTATACAATCTTAATGATCAAATACAATCTTAATGATCAACTCAAATATCTATCTATCTATCTATCTATCTATCTATCTATCTATCTATCTATCTATATATATATATATATATATATATATATATATATATATATATATATATATATATATATATATGTATATATATAAAAACAGCGTCTTTTATATCGGTGAGTTATTTTGATGGAATGGCCGATATTTAACTTTATCGCTAATATCGACCATGCCGATAATATTGTGCATTCCTATTGTTGATGCGTTTTCAAATATATTTTTATTTCACTCATTAAAATGCTGTTGGTCTAATGTAAACTAAAATACAATGTTCATTTTAGGCAGCCAGTAAAAATCCAAGGCTGATTTGTTCTGAACGTGAATTTTCCAGAATGACACAGCTATTTTACAATGACTTGAAAGTGACTTCTGTTCTGACAGTCTTAAAACAAACACGTAAAGCTTATGATGTAAATTACAATAATAACATTTAAGTCCTGTTTCCTGTTTCTCTGGCTCAATTAGAGAATGTCAACAAACGGGGACACAATATACAAACTTGCCGTCTTAGCAACAAACTGTCAGGACCCGTTTTAGAGCCTTTTTTTTTTTTTTTTTGCTAAGGCACTAAACACCCTCTCCATTTACAATAAGTCATCTGAGGCTCTGCTGGCACAGCCAAGGCATGCCCCAGAAGAAGCCCCTGCACAAGGTGATTACCTCAGACGTCTAAAAGCTGTCCTGACGTGAGGTTAGGGGAATGTTAACGATTGCACAGCATGTAATCCTGTCTACCTTGCAGTCTCAGACTCCCAGTGGCCTCCAAAACTAGACAAGTCTAACCTCCTATTGGGAATTCCACTTTTTCTGCCAGGACCTTTTTTATTTTTTATTTGGTGGGAAACCTTTTCACGTTTCCATGAGCTAGTGGACAGTTCTGGACGTACTTGAATTCTATCCCACAAGTCTGTCTGAGCTAGTGGCATTTATTTTCATTAAGATAACGTTGGAATGGCATAGAGATTAGAAATAATAATATTCTTCTTTTAGAACTGTCAGAAGTATGGCACTTATTTTAGATCATGTTTAAGGAAGTGCATCTCTAATTTATGATGTGGTCACAGTTACGATATATCTTTTTCTTTATGGTAAAACTATTAGACTGTTTATTAAATTTCTTCTCCTACAGAAACCGCAGTGAAACACAAGTGATTACACAAAAGCAGCAGGGATTATGAGCTGCATGAGCTCTTGTACTTTTGCATTTACTCTTCATGCAACAACAACAAAAAACACTCATTACTTCATTTGGGTCTTGGCATGGAGATTACCATTGGTCACTCTTTGAGGTGCTGCTCAAGAGGCTGACCAGGAAATAACATTTTAGAACTCGACAACAGTTTTAAAGTAGGAGTGAAGATATTTTGTATTTGGGCCTGATTCCAAGAACACCTGACGTGTTTAGATCTGGAATGCAGAGCAACAATACCTCTTCAGCTGAAAATAACAATTACTGAGGAATCTGAAGAACATTCCTTCACTAATTTGTGCACTAGGGCTGAGAAGAGACAGTGGAAATAAAGACAAAGTAACTGAATAAAGATGCTCTCCGTTTTGGGGTTTATTATTAAATACGCATCTTTGGTGTGGCACAGAGTTGTGAGAAGGCGAGCCTGTGATCGGCAGGTTGCCAGTTCGATTCCTCAAACTGACAACATCAAAAATGTGGGTGGGAAAGGTGAAGCAACCACACATGTGCCCACTCTGGGCCCTTCAGCAAGGCCCTTAACCCCCACCATCTCCACCCCCAGGTGCCCTAGATGACATCTCTGCTCCACACAGAGGGCTGTGGTAGCTCGGTGGTCTGTGGTTGCAACAGGAAGAGCATCCGATGTAAAAACAATTGCCAAGTCTTCGTGTGAGTTCATTCAACATCGTGACCCCTGAGGAAGGGAGCAGCAGAAAGTAGAAGGTTATACGGTAGTTATAGTAAGGTTATAGACAACTCAGTTACAGTATATCCAAAATTCATTTGATACATTTGGATAAAACTAAGTGAATAAATAAATTAATTAATGAATAAAAAATAATAATAATAAAAAAAAAAATAATAATAATATATATATATATATAAAATCTCCATTATCGAATGGCTGTTTGTCTCGTTTGTCTCTGTGTCCCTGTGATGGACTTGCGACCTGTCCAGGGTGTACCCCGCCCTTCGCACAGTGATTGATGGACATGCATGGCACCGGTGACCTCCGTGACCCAAAATGGAAGAAGCGGGTAAAAGATAATAGATGGATGGATGGATATTCATTATCAGAGTACTGATATTCATTATCCGAGTACTCCGGTTTCCTCCCACAGATCAAAAACATGCATGTTAGGCTGATTGGTAACTCTAAATTGTCCTTAGGTGTGCA